GTGTGTTTCCGTTATCCTCAGCTTATTTTGATGAATATGTTCAAACAGGAAAAAGGAGCACGGATCCAGAAGTGGCCGGGCGCATCGTTCATTGAACAAGTGTTTCTGTTGTTACTGATACTGTACAGTGTACAGTCGTTGGTCGAAGCGCACCTTCCACCAAACTTACTTGTAGTGACACCTAAATTTAAAAATCTGCCTTAGATTAAAAAAGTGATCCAACTCCGAACTTACAACTGATTTCACGTTTTTCTACAATGGTCAATAATTAAGGTTCTTTTTTATTGCTTTTATTTGCTGAAATTATTCCTTGTGCCGCTTTTATGTGATCTAAATATGATATCTAGCCGCCGTACGTTGACAACAAATTACTGCAACAAAAGACTATAAAATATTAGCAGTAATTTGTCTCATATGGCACACAGTAGATACAAGTTTAGTTTGTTCAGTAGGTACGTTTTTTTCATACAGAGCTCAATAAGCTGGCTTGTCAATGTTCTCTTGGATGCTTCAACTTCTTTTATACAACGTCATATATACTAACTAATTTTTTTAGTATCCGAGCCGCGAGCCGCCTGATACTAACTGACCTGGATATGTAAACATTCGTTTCACATTCTTAGCGATAATCATTTGTATAGTATGTTTACGCTCCAACTTACATGTGTTTTCTAAATATTCTAACGATCTCTAAAATATATATAAACTCGGCCATCTCCCCCGAAATTGTTTACACGAAATTTAAACTTCAATTAATTTCTAATAGACATACGGAATTTCCTCATATTGGAAGTTTTCAACTATCGCTTTTTCGTTATACGTATCTGACGCCTCCTCAGTAGGAAATTACAGTCCCGGTGAGAATTCTACTCTTCTCTGCTCACAGCAGATTTGTATTGTATGCCTGTCCATGACGTGAGAATCCCTTATCTACTTTATTGATCTTTATGACCCCTTCTATTTTACCTGTAGAAGAATTTATCTAGTGATTCAACCACCTTTTCACTTATTTAATTTTTAGTAAATAGAATTTCATCGTTTTGAACTTCACGGTTATACCAGTTCCACTTGACTTCTAAATTTAAACATTTTTTTTCTTCAAAGCGTATGCTGGCCGTTTTCTTACATGCAACAAGTTCAAGTCTCTCCGGTGGCTGAGCCCGCTACTTGATAGTAACGATGTCGTCACATTATTTGTACTGAGGAGCTTATGGGTTGGAGAGAAGCTCGTCTGACCGTCTTGCTCTCAATATGTTTATTGTGACCAAGAGCTGAAGACCTCAATATGTTCCTGTATGAGTGCCTCCTTGTTATACGCGCACGAACAAACTGAGCTCTCGCGTGCTCTCTTTAATTGCCTTCTCTAGCTTCTCTTTCCTTGCGAACACTAAAAAGCCTCTCAAATTTGCCTTGCTGGTCTTTTTTCTTCATTTTTGGTACCTACCAAAACGTTATGTTGAAAATGATGTTTTTTCAACGTTAATAATGGATTTTTACTTGTATCTCTGGCTGTGCAACTTTCATCTCGCAATAAATATTTTTGTTGCAATGATCTTTTTCTGTGGTACCAAAATTGTCCTAATTTACAACTTGTGGATTTGCAATTCGTCACCGATCTTATTTAACAGCTGCTGCTTGACGGTCGTCATTGAATATTTTTTTCCTGGTCTAAGGCCTATTTGTTCGTGTCAGCAATATGCTGCTAGCAATATGAATTAACCTCCACCTTTAATTATGATGACACGTCGCTTTGGTGACGCTCCTACACGTGACACTTCCTGACTTAAATGGAAAGTTTGCTCACTCGAAAGGTGGCGTACACCGTTCCTTGCAGGGAAAGTAGACACGGTCCGGCTAATTACTGCTTTCCGTTCGCATAAAATTCAGGTTTTAACTCGAGAAATTTTTACAGATTTTTTTCGCAATGTTTTGACTTGGTTGTAGGAAGTCGCGTCCGGGTCGTCGCATTAAAAATAGTTCCTGCATGGTTTTCCGGTGTGAGTAAAATTTGAAATGGATACCGGTACGAGTAAAAGTTTAAAGTACGTTCCAGAACTTTCGAAATTTCATTCTTTATCAAATCAAAGCAGTAAAAACATTTCTCGCACAAGTTTTAGGCACGGAAGTCGGTTTCATTTATTAAGTTAACAATGAAATTTTATTCTCAATTAGTTTTCGAAATAATTCAAACTTTATAATATTGTTCCCACTCTAGTACATATATTGAACATATAACGTTGAACGTCCGAGTTTAAACTTGATTTTAAGCCTTGATAAACAAAAGAAATGACCAAGATGCCCTTGTGATATGATTGGCAGATAACATTATAATTAACATGCCGTTATCGTATGTTCGAAGGTTATCTGCTAACTGGTGATGTTTACGCCAGTAGGTGGTTCATTTTGTGTGTTGTTTAGATGTGAGAAGCAACGCGAACATTGCTTATTTGTTTAACTTGTTTGCGGAAAGCTTTTTGTGTGTCGCATTGGCTTGGTGCCCGAGAAGCTTGCAGCTCTGCTGCTATACTATGAACGAGATCCTCGCCTTCTCTGCCCCCTCTTTTTATCTTATCTCTTGCTCTTCTCATGATAAACGCCTCCATACCTCTTTCTTATCGTTGCACACTCATCTAAGCTTGCAGGTTCCACCGAGTTTCCATCAGTTGCTTGTCAAACGCCTGCCTGTCATTTCATTGTTCCGTGCATATATTGGATTTTTTAAAAATTTTACTGTACCGGCTATGTGATTGAACGCTTTCATGATTTTACGTTCGCCATGGACGCATTATTTCGACGCGTTTCAATCATCGCACTCTACTTTGAGATTCGCTTAGTGCTTTATTTGTAGGCTATATACCGAGAGCTGGACTAGAGTGTAACCTATCGGTGGCTATTATTGGAGTTAATTCACTAAAATGCCATCGCCTATGGACTTCATGAACGCTGTATGCATTTCATTTTATTCACCCGCAATGTTACACCTACACACATTTCGCGAATTCAAAGCAGATCTCAATTCGTCCAGCCGCTAATTTCCAAGAAATTGTTGTTGGACTATTCGATACCATCGGGTGATTTTCACTTGAAAATCTTGAGCTAGTCAGTGAATGGTTGAATATTTACATTCACATTTGCATCCGAACAATGTTAATTTTGCTCTTCTACTCCTTGTTTTACTCTCCTTGTGGATTTTGTAATCGAAGTACTCCCTTTGCCATACAATTTTTTCTGAAGTTCCAAAAAATATTGCATTTTAATTTGATCCCTCCTCTGTCCTCTTATCATTTGAGTAAGAAAAAACAGAATACTGACCCGAGTTTACTCTTGTTATTCTTCAAGCCAACGACGTTGTCTAATTGCTCAAGTTTCATACTTGTCACTAGCGTTTGATGCATAAAAACAAATGCGTGTTGTTGTCTTGTGTCCCCCAGACCTGACATCAGCAACTGATAGCTCATTACTTTGATCTGAAACAAATGCATGTATTGATTTGTTTGTGAAGCTTATTATCAAGCGCTCGAATCTCGTTTGATTAACTCACAACGCTTGTTTGCTCCCAAACAAATTTTCGTATGGCCTCGCAAATTGACTGACACTTGTCACTGGTCGTATGCTAGTTAATTACTTAATTCAATCTCTTAACTTTGAATTGGGGTATTTTTTCAGCATCGTCATGAATTTGTATTGCGTTCCATTGCTCAAATTTGTATTTAATTATTGTTTATTGTTTCATCACCAATGTTTGATAGCCATTTCGATTTCGAATATAATTTCTGATCTTTCTGCACTAACTGGATACTCAGAATATAGTTTGAAATTTTCAAGCAATTATCCTGACACGTATAATTACAGATGACTCGGTGACGCTGGCTATTTAGCGATGTACTTGACCATTTAATTATCTATGGGACATATCATAATTATTTTGGCTTAGTATGAGTAAGAAATCGCAACTCTGATTGTCGTTAAGGTTGTGGGAGGTGCCGTTGTTAGTGATTCGGGTAGAGTAGGTATTTGAATTGATTTTTCTCCTAATTTTTAGTAAGCCATTTCAAGAGGCGTTTATACTCATGGAGGGCCTAATATAGTAGAGCTTGTATTATTATCCGTTTATGTATTTTCCGGTCATGAGAGCTTGTATTTATTTATCTGGACTATAAACTGTGGTCGAACTCGTCTTATTGTAGCCACGCCAAATGTCTTGACTTGATTCTTCTTAGCTTTAAATTTTCTTAAACTTTTGAAAATGCCAATTTACATTGTTAGAGGGAAGAAGAAAAACTTTTTATAATAAAAAAAATGTTTCGCGTTTCAAATCGAGTTCGTTCCAATTGCATGTGAATGCACCTTAATTATTTTTTTTATTTCAACTGAAATCCCAATACCACACGACACTCTGTTCAAGTTTCAAATGAATTTCAATAAAAAAACGTACGTTCTGATGCGCGAACGATGTTTCCTCGCCGAATTGATCTCTGTCATGCAGGAGTCTTGAAGTCTTAAAGGACATAGGCTTATCGCCGGCCTCTATCAATTATCTGCCTCCTTTTTAACAAGACCTCTTGTATGCTGTTAGCTGTTTAACCGCCGTCACTTAAGAAGTCCCTAATTTGAGTGTATACAATAGTACATGATATTTTTTACGTTTTCTTACTGTTTAACTGCTCTCTGGTCTACCGAACACTTGCTGTGCTCTATTGCACCGAGCGGCCTGGCAACTTCAAGCCACAATTTAACGGTTTAAAGTCGAATAATGGTCGTTTTTAAAGCATGCATAATGGTTGTTTTTAAATGGTGCGGCATACTTTCGAATCACTGGCATAGTTCTAAAAAATTGCATGTTGAGAATGTCTGAAAATTGCATTCGAATTGGCCTTTCTGTTTTTTCCAGCCTACTCATTTTTTTAGGATAGACGCCCGCCCTATCATTATATACCATTGCAATTAACTACAGATAGTATGCATGTTTAGTCATAGCGTTTTTTCTTTCAACAGTTCCCTTAAATTTCAACAACTATACAGGATTCAAGTCTGCGCGTATCGCATCTCTATAAAATTACGCGCTATCTAAGCAGCGTCAGAGGTCTTCTGTCTAGGCATCCTATTTGTGAGCTCAGGTTCCAGAAGACGAGAAAGCATTCTCTTGAACAAGTGTGTAGGTCAGGTGTTGCAGTGTAGTGTGAGACATGGAGAAGAGTGCTAGCGATAGAAAACTCAGTCTTGAGGAGAGGAAGAAGAAGCAACAGCAGCAGAATTTTGAACCTACGGAAGTAGAGGAAAATCCTACAGATGGTGACAACAGAAAAGACAGCGACGAGGGTGCGACGGAAGTCGCCGATGAGAAAGATCCTCGGCATGGTGAGTCACGATCTAGTGAGCTTGCCAGCCGACCGACATGGTGGTCGAATCTGGTGGTGATGGTGTGCACTGGTGCTCGAGGTGATTATTTAATATATTCTATTTCTTTATGGTATGGTCCTCTTTTTGTGCTGATCATACAGTCAAATTATTTGCTCATGTTGAGTTCTAGTTTTCTCAAGATGCTGCTGTCTCCACGACAGTGCTGTCTATACGACAGTGCTGTCTATACGACAGTGCTGTCTCCACGACAGTGCTGTCTATACGACAGTGCTGTCTCCACGACAGTGCTGTTTCCACGACGGTGCTGTCTCCACGACAGTGCTGTCTAAACGACAGTGCTGTCTCCACGACAGTGCTNTCCTCACGACAGTGCTGTCCTCACGACAGTGCTGTCCTCACGACAGTGCTGTTCTCACGACAGTGCTGTTCTCACGACAGTGCTGTCCTCATGATGTTCTAATACTTTATAAGTTTAAGCTATCAATGCGCGACATGATCTAGATTCATCATTATCACTTGTTTGTATAGTGTTTTGTCGTCTCTTTTTCCATTTGAGTATTGTTGCAATACTTGCTCTGCTCGTTGTATTATCACATAAACTGATAATTAATTAACATTGCTTTTTGGCCATGGTATATTGGCCCTGCTTTGCTGCCACTGGTTGATCATCCAACAATTTTTTAAGTTATTTATTGTAAATAATCCCTTGCATTGCTTATGGTACGAATGATGTTAATCACTGCATTTCAAATGCCGTTTTTGGCACATCTTAAATGACTCGTTTGCACATCGTATGTATTCGTAAACTTATTTTTTTAAATTCACAGTTGAAATTCGAGGCTCTACGTAAGAGAAGTAATATTTGAACTGGATTCGATTCCATGTTGTTCTTGGTACTACATTAATAGTATGCACAACAGAACTGACTAGAACAAAGCTCTTGAACAAGGGACGAGTTGGCAAGCAAGAGAACGTAGTGCCAGCTAAATGGCTCGCTAAATACGATCTATCGAGCATCAGGTTGTTTCTCTGCCAATATCATCCCGATAAATACGATCTATCGAGCATCAGGTTGTTCCTTTGCCAATATCATCCATTGATTATTTATATATTTTCTTTGTGAAAAGTTTACGAGCATTAAATGCTTGGCGTAGATTCACATCTATTTTCCCTCATCCGGGTTTTGTTTTTAAAAATGTCTAGTGGTAAACAATTGACTGGTACACCACCTGCAACTCACGAGTCTCGTAGTCCTGAATTTGATGTAGTGTCTTTTTTCATGCTCGCCTTTTTCTTTCTATTTTCACGTGTATTTTTATGCCCCATCATAATTAACGTGGTCACCATTGCATTTCAATTACGTTTCCCTCAACTCTAACCCAAGGTTCTTGTTACCGTATCGTGATTAGGAACATTTTCTCTATCCAAAAACATGATTTATGTTGATATGTCCTTATAATTGATGTTTTCGCTAATGTTAGCCACGAATAGTGTGGTTGCCTTCGCGTTGAAATTAATATTTTAAGTAACTCTAAGTCACGGTTTATGTGGTTGCTAATGGCGTTGAAATGAACCCTGAGTTCCGTTTTATGGGCCCCGCAATGCCGCAAGGATTTTGTTTGATTTGAAGTTCAGATAATTTCATGTCAGGTGCATGGAGCATTGGTACTCACCGGTAACCTATATGTCATTCAGAAGTTCATAATCGTTACATCTCAATAATGCCAATTATAAATTCATAACTTAAAGCTGCAGTTTTTAATGACTTCCAATCTTATGACTGAGAAATTTCAAGAAAAGTAACATAAGCTTGTGTTCAAGCTTGTGAAACTCAAGATATTCTTGAGCGATTCGGGTCTGTGAAGAATTTTACGCACTATGCGTCTGAGTATAGGAAGTCGATGCAACTGAAACTGTCATCGTACGCGCGGGCTTTGTGCCCTTGTATCGTTGTGTTCTCGTTGGGCACTAGCAAAGAATCGCATGCACTCTCGCTATGTGGCGACCACAGCGCTGAAGTGTCAGCCAAAACCGGTGGTGTTAATGCTTCAGAATTTATTCGTGCCGCTGCAAGGCCGCACGATAAATGAAATGAAAAAAAGGTTTAAGGGAAAACTTTAGTTTCACTCGTATCACTGTCTCATGCCGACATTATGCATGGCGATAGGCGATACTTCAATAGTTCACTATATACTCCCAGTAAGTATGAATGATAACCTGTTTAGATCGTAAGATCGTGGCTCGCATGTGATCTTGGCACTTGTTAATCTTGGTACTTGTTTGGAACGTATCAGTCCAAACTTCGAGAGCGAGACCTTCAAGATTCAGACATATCACAACGAGAGAAGGGGGAGACTGTGCAAGATCCCTCCCCTGCGTAACAGATCCGCAGTCAGATTTCAATCCCTGCACGTAAACATGCAGGGTAGCCGCGCAGGAAGGTATGCCGCAAGTGCAGGCCGTAGCACCGTGGCTTGTAGCGGAGAGCATGAGCAGCATGCAGGGCGGGCTAAGCAGCGTCGTCGCGAGTCTCGTTGCTGCCAAAGTTTTTGTGGACGGCACGCGCTGTGACCTTGTGAGTGGCGGCGGCCTCCGTCCCCGGGGGCTCATCACACACGCGTCGCGGCGAACTGCAGGGGCAGTACTTTCAAAACCCGCTATGCTAGACTACTGTTATTATTAAGGACACGTGATGGTCTTAGTAGCAACCTTAGTACACGTAGCGGCCGTTGTACACGCAGCGGCCTTAGTACACGTAGCGGTCTTAGTACACGTAGCGGCCTTAGTACACGTAGCGGCCACAGTACACGTAGCGGCTTTAGTACACGTAGCGGCCGGCCTTAGTGCACGTAGCGGCTAAAGCAATACGTAGCGGCTAAAGTACACGTAGTGGCTAAAGTACACGTAGCGGCCTTAGTACACTTAGCGGCCAAAATACGCGCAACGGTCCAAGTACACATAACGGCCGATTTTTTGTCGGTGATTGTTGGGTTTAGCTTGAAAAGCCGTCAGTATTGCCTGACGGAGATGAAAATTATTGACTATTATTTATAGTGCGGCCCCTGATCTTTTTAGCAGGCCATGCTTAATTCGTCCATAGGTGGTCTCCTTCCATCATGCATGCCGATGGCGGGACTAAGATCTATTAGAAAAAGCTCAATTGATAAGCATTCAATTAATTCAATGTACATTTCCGAATGAAGTGTAGACTATTGGTTATTCGCAAGAAACTTTTATGTACATTCAAAACAACTCGTAAAATTTAAGTGAAACGTCTTCAGACACAGTTACACTTTTTGCGTACAATGTATAATTTCATTAGAATTAAGAACACTTGATTGCTCAAAGCTCAAGTTTATCAAGAATTTAAAAGCAAAGAAAACAGCCAAAAAGTGCAACATTTCATATGCGAGAAACGTTTCGGAGTCTAACTCCATCGTCAGTTCACGAACTTAAAACACAAGCACCAACAATTAGCAAACTTAAATTCACATTGAATATATTAAACCATGAATTCTCATAACAAAGCAAATAAGAATGAGGTAAACATAAGCAGACAAACCTATCTATCTATTTACAATTTCCATGGGATATGAACTGCAGGCGGGATTCAAACTAGGCTTTTGTTTAAAAATATACAGGGACTCTAGAGTTCGCAGGTCAGAAAAACCGCTTGTAGAGGCTATACTCTAAATCACTATCGGACACCGGGACGTTGCACTGCTCGGCATGAACGCGTACTGCTAAATGAGGGGGATTCGCAAGCAGGTTCCCTTTTCTAAAACTCCTTCCTTTATGCTCCGCCAGCCTAGTATAAAAATTTCCAGCTGTCATACCGACGTACGCAGATGTGCACTGCACACAACTATGGACCTATATAAAGTAGGGGACCGATCGCATAGGAACAGGGAGTCTATTTTTATACATGAAAAAAGAACCGACTTTAAAATTATTCACCAGCAATATATGAAAATTTGCATTTGGGGAGGGGGGGCATTTAGAGAACAAATCTTTCAACTCTTTTGCCATAGTCTCCGATGCGGGACCATAGTAAGGAAATGAACAATAAAGAGCGTTCCCACTGTCACGTTCTGGAACGACTTCAGAATATTGCTTAGAAAAAAATTTTGTAATTTGAGTAGGTATATACCAATTGCGACGGAAACCCATTTGGTGACAAAGTAATGCGTAAAAAATCAAATTCGGAGTGCAAACCATGGAAAGAAGAGCAAATACGAAAGCCACGCTTTATAAACGATAGATTTGTCTGCTCTTGTTCACCACATTCCTTTGTTTTCGTTACAATTTATATTTTAATATCTTCAAGTTGATTTTGTGTTTGCTAGTTGTTTGTAATTGTGTTTTGGATTTTGAACTGACGATGGAGATGGACTCTGGAACGGTTTTTCTCATACGAAATGGTGATCTTTTTGGCCGTTTTCTTTGCTTTTAAATTCTTCATATTTTTGTTAGTGTTTTTTTTTTGTATGTGCAGATAATATATCGCCGGGCAGTGCGCATTACCATCTATCACTAAACGAGCTTACATAATATGATGAACGATGTTCTCAAAAGTCGTACAAATAGGTCGATACCGCCAATTTAGCTGTAACTTTTTATGATGGCGTGTGCAGACGAGCTTATCGCGCCATGAAATGATGCTTCTGTACAGTCGTTTAGTACGTAATTCCTTCACGGTGCGATAGTATAATAAAGACTTCACAATGACATGCTAAGATCTCCTATTCAAACCGGCGTTTTAGTATTCAGTTATTTATTTACATTATTTGCTATGAATTACGAAGTTAGTAGAAAGCCGCCACTGTCACTTGTATCTAGTGTGGATTTTGGCAAAGCTACAAAATACAATTTATGGTGTCTATTATTTTTCGGGGGTGCTCCAGTGCAGGTATTTGCCATTAGTAGTAGACGACTGCCGGTGTTCATTCAATATGCAATAATATTGGTGCAATTTTGTTGCTCCATATACAGCTTAA